GAAGTGTGGTCACCGTCTGACCGCCTGAGGTTGGAGGCCAGAACAGTAATTTGCGCCCTAGATGGATGGTCTGATAAGGAAAGTCATCCTTAGGCATCAGCTCTTTTTCTAGAAGCATTTGGAAGTGCTTGCCTCACTAGAGGATAAGAATTATGGTTGCTTTAATGTTTAGAAACAGATTAATTGCTTAGCTTTTGAGGCTTTTAGTCGGCGAGAATTACATGGAAGGGAATTCCAGGTCCTGATGAAGGAGAGTCAAGGAGTTCCTTGGAATAACCCCAGCTACCAATCAACAGAATGAGACTAGGCTGCCGCATGCACTTGGCCTGGTGGGAATGCCAGACATATTCCTTGTCTCTGAGTCAGGTCCTCCCTGATAGTCAAAACTGGCTGCAGCTTCCCGCAGGGCTCAGGCCTCTGTTGTGGGAGTCCCCTCCTCATTCTTCACAAATGCAGTTGGATAAAGATCGGACTTGAAGGTACAAGCTTCCATTCCTTTGACCTCTCCCTTCAACACAGGTGGCTGGGCTCGCTCAGTTGGATATCTTTTCACCATCCTTTGTCAATGCCACGCAGGCCTGTTACCTGTAGGTGCTGGCGTTGTTTGGTTTGTTTTAAAATTTGCGTATTCTTGATACTATGCTGAAGACTCATTTGGCTGATGTAATGGATATTCTTAAGCAAGAACCAGCCATAGATGTAAGAGTTGATCTGAAACCACTATGAATATCAGCCTACCGCTTGCTACAGATCTCAGTAGATCATGGCAGAATATAATAAAGGCAGGCAGCAGACCGATGTACCAACAGCCACTATTTCCTGCTAAATTTTCATGGAAATGTATATTTGAGGAGACAGTGGGGAGAGTCAAAGAGATCTGCTTGAATCTGATGACAGAGGAAAGACCTTGAAAGACTGGAGACAAAAGAATGAAGAAGGAACTCTTATTCAGATAACATCCATCGCACATCCTCATAAGCATTTAGATTTGGAATTAATTTAATAAAGAGACTGAAGTCCACAGAGTTCTTTCCTGTTGCTTCATTGTGAATAAGCTTTATTAGTGTTTTGTGTCCACTGATTTCACAAATTATAATACTATCACCTTTTGAATATAATTGTGACGTTTTTGAGTTAGCCTCAGAAGCCTTCCTCCTTTTTCTCTGATAATGATGACAGATTTTTACTGCTCCATCCACCCTTAGACATCTGTACTCTTTTGGCTAAGAACATTTTGTGAGAACATGTGGGTTGGGGCAGAGCTTTTTCTTGGCAGACCTAAGAGATGGCCCTGAGAGTGGATGCAGGAAGAGGTTGCCAGGTAATTGCTAAAAGGCCAGAGGGTGAAGGGTAGCCGTCTCTAGGAACAGGCCCGCCCAGATGTCACACCACAGTATTGATGCTTGTCTGCTTGATTCTCTTATCCATAAGAGAAAAGCCAGGCTGTTGGAAACCTTCCACGGGACTTTTGCTCCTGAGGCCCTCCTAACCCTGCGTGGAAGCCAAGAGGTTTTCCAATGGGCTAGTCCAAGCCCAAGTCCAATAGTTCTCAAAGATTATTTCATACACTATCAGAGATGATAGAATGGAGCAGTTAATTATGTTCCTTTCAGAGACAGACCAGGGTTTTAATGTCCGATCAGGAGTTTACTATCTGTATGACTTTCAACAAGTAGTTAACCTGTCTGAGCCTCAGTTCTCCCACCACCAAAATCGGCTAATGATATCTACTGCACAGGTTATTGTGAGGGCACTGATCATCACACAACTCCAGGATTGCTATTCACACAGACTACTGGAAATGGCAAATGCTAGGGATTGTGTAACACAGCAATGCTGGTTATTTTAAGTGTTAAATATAATGATCCAGGTGAAGAATTTAGCATGTGTCTGGGACAGTGTTTAAGAATGGAACCTAAAAAATAAAAGAGTGGATCCTAGTGCCATTCTGTCAGAGAGTCGACTATGATTTGCTGTTGTTCCATTTTGGAACTTGCTTCTAAGAAGGAAAATAGTTTGGGGCACAGAAAACACAATGTGCAAAGACCTGGAGGTAGGAAAGTGTTGTCATGTTCAGGGAATGGAAAGAGTTTCCATATTCTGGAGCTCAGAGGCCAGATCCTAAACGATCTGAACTGCTTATTGAGGAGTTTGGGTTTGTCTGCAGGACAATAGGCAACCAGTGAAGATTTTTAAGGGAATTGAGAAAGTTCGATCTGCACTAAGTTCGTCTGCAATGAGACAGACCAGGTTTGAATCTCTGTTCAGTGTTTACTATCTCTATGCTGCACTGCTGTCTAGAACAAATATGTAATCTGTCCGATCCTTACAGATTCCCAAGACATTTTAAGTTGCAAATCTTACAAAAGGGTCACTAAAATTTTTCTTTCTCCTTTTTAAACTTTAGATGTCTACTGTATCATTTTATGTACCCACCAGGCACTGGGATCATTTATAAATCAGATTTTTTAATAATAGGCAAATGCTGGTCTCCTTGTTTCCAGCCCTGCCCTTACAGTCTGTTCTCCACTGAACCAGCAGAGAGATCCTTTGAAAAGGAAAATTAGATCATATCATGTTTCTGATCAGAACCCCCTATGACCCCCATTTCTCTCCCAATCAAAGCCAGTGCCTTACAGTGGCCTCAGTGCCCCTCGGGATCCATCTGCACTGTGTTCCCAGCTCCTGAGCCCTGCTCCCCTTGCTTCCTAGACTATGCAAAGCACAGCTCCATCAGGGCCTCTGTACGTACTTAGAATTCTCTTCCTGCAGATTTCCACAAGGCTTGGTGCCCTGCTTCTTTCAGGACTTTGCTGAGATGTCACCTTATCGGAAAGGTCCTCCTTAACCATCCCATATAAAATCCTCTGTGCCATGTGTGTGCCATGTGCGTGCACACACACACGTAGACTCCCTCTCTTAACTCATGTTGCTTCCCCACCCCCCACCACTACAGCATTTTTTACCATCTGACATTTATGTTTATGTCTTTGTTTCCTCCCCATGAGAATATAAGCTTAGTGAGGACAGACTTTGTTTTTTTTTTAATTCGCTGGTCAATTCTCAGGACCTAGAAGAGATCCTCGTGGGTGATTCTAAAATACGTATTAGGCGCTCATACATATTTGTGGAGTAAGTGGCTGCATAAGGGAATTGGACCTAGATCTTCCCCTCCTCTTGCAGGCTGGTTCAATGTCACCTTGTTTTAAGCAGAGATCCTACATCCAGACCAAGCCCTGTAATGACTTAACAAGCAGACACATTGAACATGAACTTTCGCATATTTTTACAATATGCTACTTCTATTTTTTGGATTTTTATTTAGAATGGAATTCTTCCACTGTGACTCTCTGCTGTGTCTTTTTTAGTATGGGAAAAATGTCGAAGAAGCTTATCTCTCAATAGTGATGAGCTAAAAAGGGTTTTAGGTGATGGTGGGTTCTCTGAGGGGCTGCCAGAATGTACTGGGCCAGAGAGGTTCTCCTGGGCCTTGGTGCAGTTTTCAGTAGAAGCCACCAGCAGCAAACATGGGCCAGAGAATGTAAATGAATGTGGGGGCCACTCTCAGCCAGCCTGAGGCTAGGAGAGGCTCTAATCCTGCCCCACTTTTTACTTTCTATCAGGCCACAAGGCTATGTTCTGACTCAGGACCCCTTCCTCTCACCACTCGGACCGGCCCCTCCTGCTAGGTCTTCCAGCCCAGAGTTACCGTGACTGGGAACAGACCCTCCTCTACTTCCGTGTCCCCTCTGCAAGCCCTGGAGGCAGAGGTGATGTAAGGTCCCAGCTGAGTTTTGTCTGCGTCGGTGGGTGAACTTGGAGCTGTGGTGGCTCAATCCGCCGTGTTACTTTGCTTGCCAAGCTTTGTGCCGCTTATTGACTGTTGCCATATCCCTAATTGCCTACAGCCCTTCATCATATGTATACTTTGTGGTCATTGTCATTCTGCCACATGAGCTAATTTAGATGGAATTATTGCTCTTGCTTTTTTTTGGTCACTTGAACCCTCTATAGAACTAATGTGTGTTTTAGAATGACCATGGAAAGTATGACATTGACATCGAAAAGGAACATTTTATGGCTGGTAATGCTGATTTCACAGCCTGCCAGGCAAGAGTCTTACACCCCACTAGACCTGGACCTGGTTATCTCCCATTCCTGCTGTGGACAGCCCACGGATTCTAAAGCAAGATCTGTACACAGATGTGAAGAGCTGTACTTGAAGAATCAGATGCCCAGCTGCTAATGTATCAGGAGATCTGGGCTTGCTGAAAATTAGGAGGAAATATGCTCTCATCAAAACATGCTTTTGAAAACTCTACTTAATGTGTGGAAATGTTGCGTTACAGCAGAATATTTTTCCCTCCAGTACAAATACCATTGAGCTTTGATTGCAGACATGCTTGGAGATTTCTCTGTGTTTCCAAGTAAGTGTGGAGCCATAGGACATGATTTCATGAAATGCAGTGTAAGGTATGCCTCAGAATTTAGGACCATCCTTACGCCTTGTGTTGGTAGGATTTTTAGTCTGAACTTCAAAGCATCCATCTTAATAAGGTGATTTTGGCAATGAAACAGTTTCTGGAACTTGGTTGTAATAACCAAAGTTTAGAAGAAAATATAGTTTAGCAACAAGGAGAAAATTATTTAATGCTTCAAAAGTTTTTTTTTTCTTATTGGCTGTTACCATGCATAGATGTGTATTCAATAAGGCAAGGCTGTCATTAAACTTTTCATTTCCAATAAGTTAATTGTGTATCTTGCTCAGTGAATGGGGGACTACATGTAGGAAATCCATAAGGGTAGAGATTGAGTTATAAACCTTACAAAGGATTTCTTAACCACTGATGGATTCTTTGAATAATGATTCACCATGGATGCTGCGATAGTCAAATATAAACAAATCATTGGTTAAAGTAATAAAAAGAAATAGTTATGCTTTGGATCTGGCTCTAATGATGTGATTTTTTTCCACCTTTCCCCCATCTTATTTTCACCAGTAGGTTGGGACAGTTGGAAGTCTGCCGTTGTACAACATGCTGCGATTCAGTCTCTCGTCCACCTTTTCGATGGGATTTCATCTGTTAGCCATCTTGGCACTCTTATTTTTCCATGTGGACCGTGTAAGTGCTGAGACAGAAATGGAAGGAGAAGGCAATGAAACCGGTGAATGTACTGGCTCATATTACTGTAAGAAAGGGGTGATTTTACCCATTTGGGAGCCCCAAGACCCTTCCTTTGGGGACAAAATTGCTAGAGCTACTGTGTATTTTGTGGCCATGGTCTACATGTTTCTTGGAGTCTCTATCATTGCCGACCGGTTCATGTCCTCTATAGAAGTCATCACGTCTCAAGAAAAAGAAATAACCATAAAGAAACCCAATGGAGAGACTACCAAGACAACTGTGAGGATCTGGAATGAGACAGTTTCCAACCTGACCTTGATGGCCCTGGGATCTTCTGCTCCTGAGATTCTCCTGTCAGTAATTGAAGTGTGTGGCCATAACTTTACTGCGGGAGACCTCGGTCCTAGCACCATCGTGGGAAGTGCTGCATTCAATATGTTCATCATTATCGCGCTTTGTGTTTATGTGGTCCCAGATGGAGAGACGAGGAAGATTAAGCATTTACGTGTGTTCTTTGTGACGGCAGCCTGGAGCATCTTTGCCTATACCTGGCTTTACATTATTCTGTCTGTCATCTCTCCTGGGGTCGTGGAGGTCTGGGAAGGTTTGCTTACTTTCTTCTTCTTTCCCATCTGTGTTGTGTTTGCTTGGGTAGCAGATAGGAGGCTTCTGTTTTACAAGTATGTCTACAAGAGGTATCGGGCTGGCAAGCAGAGGGGAATGATTATTGAACATGAAGGAGACAGGCCATCTTCCAAGACTGAAATTGAAATGGATGGGAAAGTGGTCAATTCCCATGTTGACAATTTCTTAGATGGCGCTCTTGTTCTGGAGGTCGATGAGAGGGACCAAGATGATGAAGAGGCTAGGAGAGAAATGGCTAGGATTCTGAAGGAACTCAAGCAGAAGCATCCAGAGAAAGAAATAGAGCAATTAATAGAATTAGCTAACTACCAAGTCCTAAGTCAGCAGCAAAAAAGTCGAGCATTTTACCGAATTCAAGCTACTCGCCTGATGACTGGAGCTGGCAACATTTTAAAGAGGCATGCAGCTGACCAAGCAAGGAAGGCTGTCAGCATGCACGAGGTCAACACTGAAGTGGCTGAAAATGACCCTGTTAGTAAGATCTTCTTTGAACAAGGGACATATCAGTGTCTGGAGAACTGTGGTACTGTAGCCCTGACCATTATCCGCAGAGGTGGTGATTTGACCAACACTGTGTTTGTTGACTTCAGAACCGAGGATGGCACAGCCAATGCTGGGTCCGATTATGAATTTACTGAAGGAACTGTAGTCTTTAAGCCTGGGGAGACCCAGAAGGAAATCAGAGTTGGCATCATTGATGATGATATCTTTGAGGAGGACGAAAATTTCCTTGTGCATCTCAGCAATGTCAAAGTGTCTTCTGAGGCTTCGGAAGATGGCATACTGGAAGCCAATCACATTTCTACACTCGCTTGCCTTGGATCGCCCTCCACTGCCACTGTGACTATTTTTGACGATGACCATGCAGGCATCTTTACTTTTGAGGAACCTGTGACTCATGTGAGTGAGAGCATTGGCATCATGGAAGTGAAAGTCTTGAGAACATCTGGAGCTCGAGGAAATGTTATCGTTCCCTATAAAACCATTGAAGGGACTGCCAGAGGTGGAGGGGAGGATTTTGAGGACACTTGTGGAGAGCTGGAATTCCAGAACGATGAAATTGTGTAAGTTCTTTCATATATATACATGTATATATATATGCTCGTGGTTGAGTGCATTTGTGGATGTGAGTGTGTGTGTTTTTTTAAATGGCATACAAGGAATGGAACAGTTATTATATATCAATCCTTGCTTGTGTGCACTTATCAATATGCTCTATACACAAAGATCTTAATTTGACATCAAATTTTTATTTTTACTTTTGTGCTTTTACATATTTTAAGTACATTATAGACCATGCTAGAATCAGTCTTGTGACACAGTTTTTCAAACCACTTATGGTGGGTTGAAAAATTGTGTTCTGTTTTGAATCACATAGTATACACACAGAATAGTGTGTCAAAACTTCACATTAGGTCCCCAACCTCATTACTGAGTACAGATTGGGAAAGCCCAAAAAGGAAACACGGCTGAAAAGAATTTCCTGGCTCCCAGGGCGGGCTGAAACTGTTTCTACTGCTTTTATCTGACACTGTGTTTTTGTGACAATATAAGGTGATGTTTCTGTTTAAATGCTAATGCTGAATTATGACTTAATGACCAATCCTTCTTCTTCAGTTTTATGCCAAAGTGGGAAAAGCCACACAGCTCTTATTTAGTTGCAACCTGGTTTTACTTTACATGATTAAACAAACCCTTTTACTCTACTTCTGTAGTGATGAAAAGAGAAATAAGATTCTGTCCAAGCATCCTAGTTGACCAGGAGCAGTCAGTGAAAGGTAGTGCGGTGGGAACAATTTACTCTTCGTACTGGCGCTTTCCAGCGATACTTGCTGACCTTGTAACCGCAGAGAGCCTGGTTGCACAGTTCCCTTGACAGCTGCTATTTAGAGAGCTAGTCCTCCCCTCATGCCTAGGAGGGGGCATTGTGCTCACCAAAAGCAAACCAGAAAATTTGACTCAATGAGCAGTGTCCAAACTAGAAGGAAGGAAGAATAGAAACTGTCATATCTACAATGAAACAAAGGACATTAAAATGGATGATTATATTGGTTGACTCAGTGGCAACTTAGGAATTTCAGAAAAGAAAAGAAAGATATAAAAAACAGTTAGTTTGAAAAATAGTTAATTCATATAAATGGCATGGGATAAGTCTAATGGGAAGTACATTTTTCCCCAGGATGAAATTTCTCCTACTGAAAATGTAGGGAAAACAAACACAAAGGGGGTGGGGGATGGGTAGAGGGAACATATTTTCCTGAAAGAGATGAACAGTTACTGAGTGTGATATAATGAAATCAAACAAAGCAGAGATTATAATATCCATCTTTGATGTGTGTGGGGGGAGATAGCTTTTGATGATTATCTCTTTTAGGTTGGTTCTTATGTTGTGAATGTTCCACTTACTGAGATGTGCTTTGTTGGGACACTTGTTTTACTGAAAGATAGTAATATAATAGGAAATGAGTATCCTGTATACACAAGGAAAGACTTTCCCAAAGGCCTTGCATTGAATGTGATCCTGCCCATATTAGCACACATAAACTTTATTCCTTTGGTAGGAATTCTATCTCATTATATTTTCTAATCATTTCGGTTATTGAGCCCCCTTGAATTAGATAGCACTTGTAATCCATGTAAAAGTATATTACTTGTTATTAAAGGAATATTGCATGTTATTAAATGAACTCACAAGAGTAGCCCTTAAATATGACTAAATTGGTGTTTTGTTTTGCTTATTCATTTTACTTAGGATGTTTTCTCATGAAAATTTGGTCTTGCCTTCTGTTAAGAATAGTGACTCTAGACTTGTATATTTGAGAGTGAGGTTTTCCCTATCTATTCTGCTCTCCAGGACATTTACAAACCATAAATAAATAACCTTTCGGGCACAGTGTAGAAGAAGGAAGAAAAAAAAAAAGGACTCACAGTGATGTGATAGAATAATTTATTCTGCCAAGCTCCATTTAAAACATTCACCCTATGCCATTAAATTGATTTAATTCTTGCTAAGGAAGAAATATTGCCAAATCACAGCTTTAGAAATTTAGATATCCTGTGAAAATTGGTAAGACTCACCGGACTTATTGGCATGCCATCTCTGAATATGTGTTCTTAGGAGTATTCTAGATCAATTGCCAGTTCCTAGTTTTATAAGGAACGTACTGTATTTTGTTTGCTAAGTTGAAATATGAAATTTTAGAAATGGCAAAATGTTATTTATAAGTGGAATGAAAGACACACCTACATTTTTTCTTCTTTGTAGAATTTTAATTTTAAAGCATTTTCATTTTGATGTTATAGAGTGTTAGTGTTGACGGGCTTTGTAGATGCTTAATAGGTCTCTTGTTTGAATAAATTTGTTTGGATGACATAATGTTTCTAGAAAAACATAATATTAGCAAACATCCCTTATTCTTTTCTTTTTTTTAATGGATCATTTTTCCTCTGGTAGTTGTTTCAATGACAGGTCCACACACATCCAAGTGAAAGAGAGAGTTTGTCAATCATGCAATGAAATTGAACTATGTAGACTTAACCCAATTTATCTTTAAGAATGAATTTATATGTCATTCAGTTACACAGTTAATCTCAAGAGATGACTTTCTTAAAAACATAGATGGGGCTGTTGACACCCCTGAGCTTTATTAAATACTTAAAAAAATTGTTTGTTTGTTAGTTAAACACTGTGCATGAAGCCAGAATTTATGCTTCTTTCCAGAGCACCATAAAAAGATTCCTGGAAAAACCTGGATTTAAAGTCCATCTAATTTTAAGAAGCCATTAACCAAAGTTGAAATAGGGTCCAATCTGATTAGGGATGGAGAGCAAGAAACAGTCAGCTTTATTGATTCTTTGGTTTCTAAAACAAGATAGATTCCTAATCTTTGGTCTTATTTTAGTGTGGAAGAAGTCATTTAAATTTATAATATAAGCATGTTTGTACCTATTCATTCATATTTTTACATAAATGAGTTGAATTATTTCAACTTGACCTGTTTTAAGATCGAAATCTGTATTTGAGAAAAATACTGATAAATGATAAGCGGTGCATGTAGTCTCTAATAAAACGTATTCTCAGCAAAACATTTTAAAATTACAATGCAAAAACACATTAAATAGATGTAATTAACAGTTAGCACATGCTTTTGTATAAACTCAATCAATGACAAATGCTAAACCCATGCCAGCTAATCTTGATTTTTAACAGGGAATTCTGTCCAGTTTTAACAGCTAATAAAAAATAAGTGAAGAATATGCTACTTTGATTTGTGGTTTGGTAGGTGATAGCCACAAATTTGAAGTGCTACTAATGTTGTTCTTTAATGCTGCTAGTTTAGTGGTAATAATTATTACAAAATGTTTGGTTTCCCAAGATCTAAAATTAGGTTGACTGTTCTAGAAAATGTTAAGGTTATTTAACTAGTGTAGATACAAATCCAGTTTAATTGCTTAGTTATAACCCACTAATAATATCGTTTTTGGAAGATGACTCAAAAGATCATGAGCATTTGCTGTTATATATTTATAAGACAGAATTGAAAAACAGAGTATGCACGTTGGAAAATTTGCACAATATATTGCTTAGCAAATCAGTTTACTGGGAGTTCCTAGCCACAGCATAATTTATTGAATAAGGGATCTGTCCAAAATTAATTTTGCTTTAACTATTACATTTTCAAGAATGGTTGTAACTTCATCAGCTCTGGGAAATATAATATGCAAGACATCTCAACAAATATAGCTCTTTGACACTAAATGTTTACATCTTTTTTTTGGAAAAAGAAATAGAAAGGAAATAAAATTTCAGTATTATAGAGATTATATGGAATTATTATTATTATATTCCCCGGAAAATAAATACTTTGTGTTTGGTATTTATATTGACATTATTCTTCTCTTGCTCTGTATAATTCCAAGGAATAAAGACCTAGCTATATGAAACAGCAATTCAATTCTGAGAGTGGAACAAATATGTGATACAAGAAGGCAGCCAGCTATAAAAAAAGATGAAAGAGAAATATTAAGAAAACTTGATGTGATCAGAACAGAAGAATAATTATGTGTGTATGGGGGAATCAGAAATGATGAAAAATAGTAGAGAAAAGAACATTAGACAAGAAAGGCTATTACCACACATCACCTTGAATCCCACATATTCAAGATTTGCTTTTTACTTTATGGCAGGAGAATTGCATTTAGCCTATCAAAATGATGGAAGCATGATATTTTACATTGACGTAAAATTTTCCTAGGTAATGTGCTAATGTTAGAAATTTAGTTGGAATAATTTTAGAATTTTAATGGATTGATTTCTGCTTTGGCAGATTATCTTTTCAGACTGGAATGTTTCTCTTCTTAGACTCAAACCACATGTAGTATCATCTGCAAATCTAAATTATAAGTATAGGAAATGTTTTTATAAATGCATATGTGCTTATGAAGGCATAACTGTTATAAAAATAAGACAGAGTAAGAGCCAAAAACGAAATTTACGACTTCTAATTCACTACTGCCAGGAGCCTAAATTGATTACTTGCAGAAAGGTTGTTTACTATGTCAACCAGATTGCCATGTTTGCTGTGATAATCTCATTTTCCCACTGCTAATTAGAGTTTGGGGCTATAATATAGTTATGTAAAGAAATTTTATCTTAGCAAATGAGGAGATTTCATAGTTTAGACACACTGAAGTGTTTAAATTATGGGCTGTTTTCTGAGTCATCATTCAAGGCCATTGCATAGGGGGCTGGTTTCTTCACTAGTTTAGGGCTACAGAAGAATTATATATCACTCAAGCTGCACAGGCTTCATAAGCTACTGTTTTGTGCTCAGCACTAGGCTAATCATTATGAAGGAAGCAGAAGTAGTATACTCCTTATAGGCTAAAATAGGAAACAATGAGGTAATGCTTATTTTGATCAGTACAGACATCATTATGAAGACGTGTGTATGATGCAGGAGAGCCTTAATTTTGGACAAAGTATTTGCATTTGCTTTTGAAGGACAGAAGGCATAATTAGAGAGAAAACTGGGATGTGTATCTTAAGATGGAGTCATATCTT